CATGAGGAGAGCAACAATACCAACCAACCAACCACAGCTCCCAGGGTCTAAACCACTAACCTGGGAGCACTTTGGTAGGGATCCATGGCTCCAGCTCTGTATGTAAGGGAAGATGGCCCTGTTGGGCATAGGTGGGAGAGGAGACCCTTGGTCCCATGAAGGCTGGACGCTGAGTGTGGGGGAATCGGAGGGAGCGGAGGTGGGAGTGGGATATAGGTGGGGGTACATCCTCATAGAAGCAGGAGGAAGGGGGACAGGATAGGGGGTTCCTGGGGGGGGTGGGGTAAGGGGATAACATCTGAAATGTACATAAAATGTCCAATAAAAAATCATATTTTTATTATCTCTTCCTTGTTTGAAGGAAATTAAGCTATTTTTAGATACAGCAGCAATGACCATGGCTAAGTGAATATTGTGGAATATGATGTTATGTTTTGGGCATATACCCAAAAACCCAAGTGGTGATATAGCTGGGTCATAGAGTACATTTGTTTTTGGCTTTTTAATAATTCTCCTTACTGGTTTTCATGACTACTCCAGTTTTCAATATCACTAACAATGAATGTGGGTTCTCCTTCCCCTCAACCCTCTCTAGTATTTATTGTTGGTAGTTTTATTTATCTTTGCTATGTTAATTGGGATAAGATGAAATCTCAGAGTCTTGGTTTTCCTATTTCTTATTGTTAGTGCTGATGAAGTTTTTTTTTTAAATCAAATCATAATTTTTACTTATTCACACAGGGGTTATAAACACAAAAAGGCAGGACATGGGGAAAGGGATGACACTGGAGCATGGGTGTTCAGGGGGAATACAGATATCTTTCAGAACCGGGTATCAGCTCGGTGAAGGTTCAGGGGACAAGTCACTATGACTCTGCCTATGACTCGCTTGTCCTTATCTAAGTTGGTATTGTCTGCCAAGGCTACCTATTTACAAGGTCTATGACTACTCAGGCTTGTAGATTTCCACAAAAGCTGCCTGTTGACATTAGCTTATAGCCATCTGTTTCAATGTTTTTCCACAGAGACCCAAGACTTGATGTTAGTATACATGTATGACAGGCCTATTGCTGATTTTAGGCCTTCAGTGGGTAAGCAGGGCTGCCCCTGACATCTCCTCCCTTCTCTAAGTATAGAAGGGCCGTGGCAATTCTAAACTTGTGAAGGCGGGGATAGAGGCCTGACCTCCAGTATTTGAAGGGGACCTTGTAATGGCTCCAGTCCCCCTGTCGTTGTCCAGTGAGGCATGAGGGCCATACCCGTCCTGATGTCTTTTTCCTGGAGCGGGGATACTTTTGACATCAACCCCTATGCACTCAGGCTTGTCCCTCAGGGAACCCAGATAGATTTTTTTTTTCTTTTATTGATATTCCCTTGCAGTGCTTAGCCTCGCAGCCTAAGCAAGAATTCAGATCGCCTGTCAGAGTGGGTTCTGGGTGGCCCCTCTCTGCTTGCTCTAGGGGCAATAGTCCCTCCTTTTAGGTTGGGTGGAGATGGGTTTTGGAAACACCCTGTATAAAGTAACAACCTCATCTTGAGTCTCGTGGAGTACTATTTTGAAAGTCCTTTTCTACACCTATATCAAGAAGAGTACTTAGTTTTCAGGTTTGATTTATGTATTTGACCCATGTGGAATCATGTTTTGTGCAATGTGACAAATATGCATTTAATTTCATTCTTCTTTATGTAGACATCCAGTTTTCTGAGCATCATTTGTTGAAGATGCTTTCTCTACTCAGGCTTATAAATATTAAATGGCTGATGTTGTGTGTACTCATCTTTGTGTGTTCAATTTTGTTCCATTGATGATCTATATTGTTTTTGTGCCAGTATATTATTCTTATTCCTACAGCTCTATAAAATATATTAAAGTCTGGAATGGTAATCCCACAGACTTTTTGGTTTTGTCTGGTATTCTTTTGGCTATCTCAGCTCTTTTGTGTTTCCAAATGAATTTTAGGGTACTTTTTACTATTCCTATGAAAGAAGATGGAGTTATTCTGGTTATATTTAACGTTTGTAAAATAGTTATCTTCACAACATTAAGTCTGCTAACCCATAATAAGCTTCATGTGTCTTTCAATTTTCTTGTGTCATTATCTTAGTCCCAAATTTGACATTTTCATTATGGAAGTTCTTCACTTCTTTGGTTAGGTCTACTCTTATTTTCTTTGAGGCCTCTGTGAGTAGAAGTTTGTCCATGATCTCGTCTGTTGGTGGCATTTACAAAAGCTATTGATTTGTTCAAGCTAATTCTGTATGCTGCCACATTTTTAATACACTTTTTCTGGAAGGTTATACACAGAATTTTGGGAATCATTATTGTATTGTATCATGACTTCTACAAGTAAGAATTTCATTTTTCCCTTTTTGTATTTCCTTCAAATACACTAATGCTTCAGGTAGTAAAAACTCAGTACGGAAAAGGAGTAGGGATAGTGTCTTTGGTTTGGTTTCTGTCTTCAGTGGGTGTTGCCTGTGCCCTGGACTACTTGCCGCCTGACCCTACCTGTCCTTGCAAGTTGCAGGTGAGGCAGCACAGAATCAATGACACAGACTCTGAGAACAGGTGAGAAACATCACAAGCTCTTCTGAACACTTCTGCAAGCTCCTTTAATACCTGCCACCTGTGCCCCATTGGTCCTAAGAAAAGTATGTCTTCTCTGGTATCTGCACTTGTAGTACTTCTTGCATCAAGTCATTTGGATTTGAGTTGCTCTTATTATTTTAGTTCCATCAAGTAATATATGTATGTTCTTTCTTCCAACCTAAAGTCAGATGCTTTTTTCTTTAGGTTACATGGTTCCACTCTTCTTAATGTAGACACATGGAGCTATACAATTCCCTCATGAAGCTGCTTTCAATGTGTCCCTGAGGTTCTGCTATGTTTCCAGTCACTTAGTTCTAGGAACACTTTTCTTTCTTGATTTTTCTATATTCATCATTCAGTAATGAATTGTTTAATGTCCATGAGTGTATTTACTGGAGACTTGTTTGTTGTAAACTTGTATAATTGTATTTAGGCCAGAGGAGATACAGGAATCATTTCAATATGTGTATTTTTTTGGTGTTTGGGTAGAATTATTTTGTAGGCATGTTAGTTCATCTGATTTATTTCACTTTGTGAAATAAATTTTTTTTCCATATGACCTATCTATTGGAGAAAGTATTTTAACCACCTACTATTGATTCGTTTATATTGATCTGTGTTCTTAAATCTAGCCTTTTGTTCATTTTCCTTTTGAAATTGAGTTAAAAAATTTGTTGCATATATGTTTGGTGTATATGTTTTGGACAGTAGTGTCTTCTCAAGTAACTGGTCCCTGATGAGAATGACATGTCCCTCTGTATCTTTTCTGATTAATTTTAGTTTGAAGTTATTTTGTCAAAAATCAAATTGCAACGTCTAATTGCCTTCTATTCCTATTTGATTACTTTTATCCATCCTTTTATTCTAAGGCAATGACTATTTTAAAGCTGTTTCCTATAGACAGAAGACAGATGAATTCTATTTCTTGATCTATTTAGCCAGCCTGTATCTTTCAATTGGAGAATTGAGGGCATTGATATTTAAAGTTACTATTGAAATGTATTAGTTGCATGGTAGATCTGACTGGATAGAAATGTTGGATGTGGCATTGGAGAGGACCTTGTGTTGGGGGCATAGGCAGGTAAAGTCCTTGCAAAACCTAGATATTTGTTTCAGGGCAAGACAAAGGATGTGAGACTTAAGACAAGATAGATGCCAAGTTGGACTGGTCTCTGGATGACTTTTCCTCCAGTCTCTGCTCCATTTTTTTCCCCCTGCATTTCCTTTAGATAGGAATAATTCTGGGTCAAAATCTTGACATAGGGCGTAGAGCTTGGCATGGTTGTCCTCTGAGAGTCTCTACCAGCACCTGACTGAGACAGACACAGATGCCATCCATTGGAATGAGCCCAGTGACCCCATAGAACAGTTAGAAGGACTGAAGGAGCAGAAGGAAATTGCAAACCCATAGGATGAACAGTATCAACTAACAGGACCTGTCAGAGCCCCCAGAGACTAAGCCACCAAAGAGCATACATGGACTGGTCCATGGCACCTACTTCACATGTAGCAGAGGACTGCCAGGTCTGGCCTCAGTGGGAGGGGAAGTGATTGGTTCTGTAAAAGCTTGATGCCCCAGAGGATTGCTAGAGGTGTGAATTGGGAGTGGGTGGGTGGGTGATCACACTCTTAGAGGTCAAGGGGAGGGGTTCAGGTGGGAGGCTCATGGAGGGTAGACAGGGATGGGGACATTTTAAATGTAAATAAAATGATAAAAATATGTGCACCACCACTGGCTGGCTATTCATCTTTTAACAATAAAATACCTCTACCTAATAATTTAATAATCTTCTTGAAAGAATTAATTTTTTTTTAAAAAAAGGTTTTGTAAAATAAAGTAAATCCAAACTAAGAAAATCCTTATAAATTGTGGGTCAATACAAAATCCTGTCTGAAGCTTTGTATTTGGGGAATATTAGAGCAATAGTAGTGTGATTCTTTTTGGTAAATTCCTTCATGCTTATTTTTCTTGACTATAAAGTGGGTCTGGTCATAGGTATCAATCTCCCAGAATCTGCATTTTTCTGTAATATATACTTACAAGTTACAATATATGTCACATAACGTATAGCAAGCGTAGTGACAGATGTTTTATAAATTTATGTGAACATTTCTGCTAAACAGTACTACTGGATTGGTTTCATCTACACATTATTGTGGAAATTAAGGTTCAGAGCGTTAGAAAAAGCAAGAGTTAAAGAGTTTAAAACATTACATTACCATCTTCAGATACAGGCAAAATGATCCTATGTATATTGATACCAACAACAAATATCTCAAGTAGGCTTACAGAAATAAGTCAGTGATCAGCCTGTCTTTTCACCAAAAGTAGAGACACTTTAGATACAAAATAGAACAAAGACCAAGAAAAATCCTTCAATACATTCTTAAAGAAAACTACCTCAAAAGATAATGGGAGAAAATTCTATGTTTAATGTCTGATAATTGCTTGGTATGAAAAGATATCCAATGTGGACCAGAACATTTCATAAATATTCTATACTAATCACAAGCAAATACACAAATCACAAAGGACACAGAACAAGTTTTATTATATACATTTCACATACAGTAAAATCTACTGTCTGATGCATAGATTTGTACTTTTGACAAAGTACCCTTTGAAAGAGAACCACACTATACCATTAGTTGTGGTGTTCCCAAATTCTCACATTATTTTGTACTTAACTGTCTTACCTACATTTGAATTCAGACTAGTTGTCTAGGAAGCCTTGTACTTCTTAAGAGTCTGCCTTTACATAATTTGTTGAAAATGCTGTCATTGTGACTGTTAAGGTTGGTTTCCTTATTATTTCCACAATGTGTGGGCATCCTGATTGTTGTGTATTGCTACTTTGGGAATGTATTTGGTGGTGCTATCTTATTATTTCACTTTCCTATTATATGTGATGTTAAAAAACATTTTGAGTGCTAATCTGTATCCTTTAGCCCCTGAGATAAATGTCTATTCAAATTACCTTTCCATTTTTGTGTGCTGTCTTTTTCTATTTTGACTCCTTTATATATTTTAGATACAATTGCCATTAGTATATATCTTACAAAGATTTGTGTTAGCTATGCTTTTGTTATTTTAATAGTACTTTGAAAAGCAAAATACTGTCTGACATCAATTTCTTAAAATAAACAACCTGTTTTATGAACTCTTTGTTTAACTGTACTTTATCTTGTATTTAAGTTTTAGTTTTCCATTCTATAATATGCATGTCTCTTGAATGTTTTTGCATGAGAATATTTTTTCAATAGTTGATAATATTGTAACCTGTGTGTACATGTATTTAAGAAAACATCAAAACATTACTTTTTATGCTTACTAAACTGGCATCTCACTATGACAAAGTCTTAGCTGATCACATTTATGTGGAACACATTTCTGATGGTGTTTGTTTTGTTTCAGTTATTTTTATGTCTTTTATCCTGAAAAAAATGATTATTAGTTTTGAAGTCTTAAATTTATACGGATGTTATCAAACCTGAGTTCTATATAACTGTTCCTTTTACAAAGACTTCTGAGTTATTTTGTTAGTATAAACACTATAGCCAACTGTGATATTTGAATATGGATGAAAGGCAGGCATTCTAAAGTCTTCTAATATACACAGCAGTAAACCATGTTGTTTTCAGCATTTAGGTCAAGCACAATTTAACATTTATAATATTTATTACATTGGTAATATTTGAAATACATTATAAGAAATTTCAATTTCTCATAGCTTGCTGCCAGACACTAGTAAAATTCATGTCATTTTTAAATCTAGTAATTCTTAACACTCAGTGTAACCCATTAGCTAATTCTTCAGTTTTCCATGTCAATTATTATGGGAATGCTCTATGTGAATAATGTACTGTCTTTGTGCCTAATATCCATGGCATTATTGTAATATCATCATTATTCCTCCTCCTCTTCCTCCCGGCTCCCTATTTTCCCCTCCTACTCTTAGTTGGTAGTCTTGATTATGATCATTACATAGATATATACACATTATGTTGTGGATATATCTGCTAAAAGAGTTCAACATGTTTGCAGAAATTTTTGGATATGCAATGAAACCTTTCATGATGTTTTTAACTGTGTTTCTTATTGGTCTTTTTCTCAGCAGTGTGGCTAGAACCTGTTCAATTTTATTCATCTTTCTCCAAATCAGATTTGTTTACACTTTTTCACCTACTGTTCCTATTTGTGGGTTTATTTTTTTAAATTTTATTATTTTCTTCTACTTGTTTACTTCCTTTAGCTTCAGAAAGCAGAACGCTATCAATTTGTAATTAAACTTCATTCTAAAATAACCTTTAGATAATCCTTTAATTGCATCTTATAATTTCTCATTTCATCATCTTTCTTTGATTCATGTTCAGTAATCTGTTGATATTCAGAAATTTGAAGAACTTTAAATTTTTTATGTTGCTGAAGTCAAGTTTAATTCAGCTATGAAAAATGACATTCTTTGCATGATCTTTAAGGTTGTAAATTGTTAACATTTTAGTTTTTTCAAAAAATGTTTTCTCACTGAGATAATATGGAGAAAAATACATGCAGCAACAGAGTGTATACAATACAGAAATAGACATACGCCACATTCACTCTCTAAACATAATTTTAGAATTAAAACACATGTACAGACTTAGTATAATCATTTCTACAAGTCATACGTGTTGCTACTGTGTATGTTGCTATTCCTTGATACTGTTATGTGAACAATAGAAGGTAGCATCATCTTGCAAAGCAATCTTTTTCTAAGTTCTTGAAAATTACATGCAAGTGTGCAAAGAATTTTCTAACTTTTTAATTCTCAAAGATCTTGGTAAAAATCTGCCCCTTTGTTCCTTCTTCAGATGTGTATCTTTTTATGTTAATTTTCAAAGTGTTTCCTTTACAAAACCTTCCAAGAAACAGCAACTTCAAGGCTTATCTGTATGATTTACTTACTCAAGATTATAAGATTATTTGATTATGATTATCAAAATCTTGTGGAAATGACTTTCTTAACCTTTAATCCTAAGAGATCACACACAATATATCTCACCACATGTGGTATAAACAGAAAAGAACATGCAATTGAGCTTTATATATTGTACACCAAGGTAAGGCATCTCCTTTTAGGCACCTATTACCTGGTTTTCTCTCTTGATTTCATAATGCCACTTTTACTTTACAGAACATCCTCATGTATTTAACAGAAAATTTCACCTCCATGATCATCTGACATCAAATTAGCCAATTATAATTCTTCTAGTAAAATGTAAGGGACTTGTTTAAAGCAGTTGATTCTAAGTATTCAATTAGCTGATAGGGTATTTTCTACAGATTCAAATGACATCATCAGTACTTCTACTCTGTAATAACTCTTATTTTTGTGTTCATAAATAATGACATCATCATCAGGATGACAGAGTATAATGGAAAGGAACTTTAGACTGAAGAAAAAAGGCTCATGTAGAAGTCTAGAAATCTTCCTATCTTTGACACTGGGCTGCATATCCTACACATGAACACAAGACTAGGCTATGGTGCCATGAATGGAAATGGCCCACTCATATAGAGTAGTATTATTTGAAAGGATTAAGACGTGTTCTTGTTGGAACAGGTGTGGCCTTGCTGGAGGAAGCAGGTCTTTGAGGTGGGCCTTGAGGTTTCAAATTCTCATGCCAGGCTATGGTTCACTCTCACTTCTTGTTGTCTGCTGATCCAGATGTAGAACTCTAAGTTCCTTTTCCAGTACCAAGTCTGCCTACATGCCACCATGCTTCCAACATTTACGATAGACTAAACCTCTGAACCTGTAATACAGCCCCAATAAAAATGTTTTCTTTTTGAGAGTTGCTATGGTTATGTTATCTCTTCATAGCAATAGAAACCCTAACATACACACATGCTAAGAAAAACTATAATCTTCCTTTCAGCACCTGATCATGTAGCCTTACCAGGTACTTACTTATTTTATGTGCATTAGTGTTTTGCCTACAAGTCTGTCTGAGGGTATTGGGATTCCCTGGATCTGAAGTTAAAGACAGTTGTGGGCTACCATGTGGATGATGGAAATTGAACCCAATCCTTTAGAACAGCCAGCACTCTTAACCACTGACCCTTATCTGCAGCCCCACCACGTGTTTTCTTATCAAATAGCCCAAAGCTCTAGATGAAGAAAGGGAAGTAAAGGATATATAGGGTTTCTCAGAGAAAGGGTAACTAGTGATTTCTTGACTACTTTGTGATTTTTATAAAATGCACAACTGAGTTGGTTGGATAGTAGTTTCAATATGGTTTCAGCTCCTCCTTTAAGAGGTCACACGTTAGTGGCTTAATATTTGGTGTGGCAATGTTAAAATGACAGAATCTTTTATGAGGTGTAAGGTGGGCCAGCTGTTTGGGTCTCTAGAAATATATCCTCAGAAAGGATTATTTCTCATGGACAACCCTAATTAGTTCCCAAAACTGCAATAAAAGAACAAAATTACTCCATCAACATCCATCCTTTGTCCTCTTGTTTCACTATGCAATCTATCCCTCTAAACATGCATTCCAACAATGGTGATGTGCCAGGAGCCATCAAGGAAAAGCTAAAAACTAGCAGGTGATCTTCCTGAGATGGTTCTGCCATGGAATATAAAGCTAAGATGGGTTTGCTTCTCTGGACAAGGCTAAGAAGATTTTATCGGAGGAAAGATTCCTGATATTAATATGCTATTAATATGCTTTTCCTGTATGTATGTATGTGTGTGTGTGTGTGTATATATATATATATCTCAATCACTAGGTATAAACCCACTCTTGAGCAGATTTCTGTATAACTATAATATGTACTGTCTTGTAGTAGTTATATAGACAAATAGATCATTTTTTAATTCTTAATGATTCTATAAGAATTCCTAATTCTATACTAGTAATTATTAAGCTTTTAGTATAGGACTGCTATTAAATCCTCTCTGATACTCAGAACTACAATGAGAACTCTTCCAGTCTTCAAGTGTCACAAGTTAAACTGTTTCTGAGATAACAAGCAGGCATTTAATTGGTTGTAAAACAATTAACCAAAGGTCATAAAAAGGGAACTGAGGATTTACTATAGGTGCAAGGACAGAAGATACAATATTGACCGGGATTATCTATACAAAACTTCAGTGGTAACTTAGTTATGGTCTTTAACTCTCCATAAATCTACAGAGCTAGTGAAACATGATGAATGTTTATCCAGACATTACTTCTAATAGATATGCATATAAACATTCTCTGTTGTAAACTTTTTATTCAATTTATTAATTGAATTTATGTGTAAACTTGTGATGAACTCTTTACCATGTGATCATGTATTCGGAAAGATGTGTAAGTGCTGAGGGCAAAGAGAGAGGGAGAACTTTTAAGTGGAACTCAAGAAGTACCTTTTAGAGAGAACTTTTTAGAGAAGAGCTTTCTTATAAAACTTTTAGAGAGAAGTAAAGACATTGGGAGTAATAGCATTGGGAGAAAAGGCATAGCATTCGGAGTAATGATATTGAGAGTAAGGGCATTATTGTAACATCAGAGTAGGACAAAAGAGTAAAAAAGATTAGAAGAAAGCAGAGAGAACGTTTTAGAGAACTTTTTGAAGAACTTTTGTAGAAACTTTATGGAGAACTGAAGAACTTAGAAATAAACACTAAAATAAATAACTTTTCAAAGAGTGCCTTTTTTTCTTCCAGTGGCTTCAACTAGCAGGCTGGGAGTTAGTCTTGGAGCTGGTGCTAAGGCAGAACAAAGGCTGCTTTACTTAATCACCTACTGCTTTATGATGATGTGCTAAATGCCAGAGACTGTAGTTTCTGGTCTCATAGGAACTCAGACAGGCAGGTCAGCTACTGTAGCAAAGTGACTAAGACTTAAGACAGGTAAACACCTTAAATAAATATCTCATAAGACCAAGTCTTGCCCCAACTGACACTCATCCCTCTCAGCTACCTCAAGAGGAATCAAGAAAGAAGAACAGCTGGATCTGGCCCCTGGCCTTACCACTTACCATGAAACTCTACCAGAACCCAGTGGAAGTCAAAGTCAATCTTGGCATTTAAGAGGTATGAGCTAAAGAAATTATCTCAATCTCAGGTTATTTTCTTATACCTATGGAGAAGAGACCAATAAGTTGAAAAACATAACTGAAATCTCTTATTTAAGTCATACCAGTTTATGTTTACAATATTTACTAGCATGTAGTACTAACACTATAGATAATGCTATCACTGTGGGAAATGAGGCACAAAATAATTTTCCTCATACCTACTGTTTCAAACAAACAAAACAAAAAACGTAACATAATTATATTACCTAAGACAATTTCCTATTACCATAGTAGAATGTAGAAAAAAATTAAGCTTATTTTAAAAACTATTATCTCCTGAATATTCAATATTTACATAGACCAATAATTACTTATTTGGCCACTACTTTTGGCATAATTCTTGAATTCATCTTTCCATTATTCTACAAAACTGTACCTACATCTAAACAGCCTAGTTTGTACCATATTCCAATACTCCAAATTTTATGTATTCTATTCTTACTTGTGTCTCCTATATTTTCAACTTCTGCTTCTGAGAACACTAACACATTTTCATCTGTACCATTAATCTATACATAACTATGCCATTTTCAACCGTCTCAAACTGTCGATTTTTTGAGAGAGGGTTTATCTGTGTGGCTCTGGCTATCTTGGAACTCGATTCATAAAACCAGTGGTCTCAAACTCAAAGAGCCACCTTCCTCTGCCTACCAAGTGCTGGAATTAAAGATATGCACCACCAATGCCTGGTCTGTCTCAACCTTTTCACCTTATTGCTTATATTATCCTTTGTAAATTAAAGTCCCTTGCTATTTTTTCAACTTCTGTGTATTCATTCAGGAAAGTTTCACCTTTAACTAAATTCAAACCATGAACCCTATTCAATGAAAGCACTTAGAACACTCACTGCACTATTCTGAGAAGTGCCTTAAATTTTAGAGGGAAACTAGAGTGATTATGGAATCACTGTGTGCTGTTCTTAGGAGCTATATATTGCCACATCTCTAAAAACTTTAAAGAGTTTGTCTCTTTAAACTTCCTGCCTGTTGTGATATAGCAAATCTGTACTACCATGGCCTTCAACCATATGCTATTGTCTCACCAATCGCTCCAGAAATAATGGGGTCAGTCCAGAAATAATACGGACTAAACTCTCTGAAATTTTAAGACAAAATAAATTATTCTTCCTTTACAATGATATTCCCAGGCATTTGTCATCTAAACATCAAAAACTGAACATAATTAATCCCAATAAAAATGTAACATGGCCTATCAAACTAGAAATATCTAGTCTGATAATCTGTTTTCTACCTATATGCAAGATTGATAATTTAGAAATATTCCTTTTTTTTCTACAGTTTTTCCTTCTTTTATCAGACCTGTTGACAAACCGGTTCCCTTGAAATACTTATTAACAAATAGACCTATTAAAGAGACCCATTTCCCCTATTACATTTTTAAGAGTTGTCTTCTAAGTGGCTGGCATAATTATGCAATACAATGCACTCATATAAAATTTCAAAACAACTACATTTTTAGATAACAAAATATGCAAAAAGTATTATTTACCTGAGAAAGACAATTATTTTTATGATTTTAGTAAATTCTTCTCAACCACTTTACTGACCACCAACTTTAACCCATTTTATCTATCTAAGCGGTTTCATTCAGATCTAGATCATGTGGACACCTAAATTTTAGTCTTAACAGTGACTCACTGAAAAACAACTATCTTGAGCCACTCTTCTTTCGTCTACTTTCTACAAAGTATTTCAAGAATTCTTTTCTTGTTCTTCCTTTTTGGTTCTTTATCTATTTGACCAGCTAAGCATTTATCAGCATGTTCTATGGTTCACTTTTATTTCTAACTCCTATGTTGAGTTCTTTTACTCGCCCATTTTGCAATGCCATAAATGCAAGGGAAAACGGTAAAATCTTAAATTTCAATGAAAGCACAAGCCTTCAGGGAGCAGCTCTAAGGGAAAGGTTATTTTATACTCACCAGTGAAAACAACAAAAACAATTTTTTTTTCTAAAAACCCTAATTCTTTCTTATGCCATAAATAAATTTTACTAAGAGAATAATTTACTATGAGACACATCTTTACCTATGAGCAATGATTCTACAGAAAGTTTAGAGGTATAAAATTCACATTCTAAGATAGAAATAGTAACAAACATTAATACTTTACAACAGACAAATCTACCATTATCAAAAGAGTAGGCAGTGTCAATAAAAATTAAAACTAGTTGTAAAATAATTAACTAGATAAGTCCTTGTAAAAATATGTTTACAGTATCTATATATGTACAAAGGTAAAAATAAAAAATAAAAGTAAGAGTATCATAAAGAAAAATGTATAAATACTACTATAAAGTTATTAATAAAAGTTCATATTTATTGTTGAGTTACACTTCCTTAGATATATTAAACCATGTAATGAAAAATTATAGACACTGTTGAGAAAAAATAATTTATTATATATACGACAAGCCATTACAATGTATCTTCAAACATTAATTTGAAGATATGTAATTTTTTAATGCTTTCAAGGTTGTTACGCACAGTTCCATAGTCCAAATGGTCAGTTTCTTTTCTCAAAAGTTCCACTTGAAAGATACAGGATTCAGAAGAAACCTAAAACATCACAGAGGCTCATTAAAAATAATAATAATTTTGTTAATTAAGTTTTCAAAGCCCAATATTTATTTGCAGAAAATTAGTGAATCATGTCAGTACAAGATATATGTAAAGAAAGGCTACTTATGATATTAAAACTAAAATATTTCAATTGTGAATATGAAAAGACTGCAATTTCAATTTTGGTAAGCTTCTACTCTTAGGGTGGCAAATAACATAATTATGAGCAGATTTAAAGCACTTATAATAGGAACATTTCCCACAAAATCTTTTAAGATTTTTATTTACCTAAAAAAAAATGTAAATTTGTCAGTGATCCTTTCTAAGTAAAACTTTCAAATTATATTACAAGACATTATTCCAGTAATTCTGATTTATTAGCTCTGAGACAGACTCTAGACTCTAGAAATACTTGTACATAGATTATCTTCCTTGGTGGTTCTCTGTATTAATATACTAGAATCAATCTCTAAGACAGAAAAACAAACATCAATGAATAATATATTATTATATATTTTAAAATTCTTAGAATTTAAATGTACAGAATTTGAGACTGGCTGTTCTGGGTGATAGTCATCATACAGCCTGGAATCATTGTTCTTATTTCTATAAGATAATTTACTAACTATATAACTAGATAAATATGTCTTATCTGTTATTCTTTGTATGTGTGTTTAAATTTTGTTTTTGGAATTTTCTTGTTTTGAAAAAGCAAAGAGTAATTGAAATCCTTCTACTTGTCAAAAATCAATTAATCTTTCTGTATCTTGAGGGTTTTTTTTTTAGTAGAAACCTTGTTCCTTTTCAATATATTTACTATTAACAGAAAAAGATCATTCCCCAGTCAAATTTTACAACATGTTATACAGAAAAACTGTGCTGGATAGTTTTAATTATCAACCTGACACAATACTGATTACCTGAGAAAAGTCTTAAAGCAATATCTAGACTATGTTGATATGAGCGCATACCATAGTTTTGACTGTTCACTGATGTAAGGTCCAACCAATTGTGGGTAATACCATTCCTTAGGAAAGGGGACCATGAGCAGCGTGTAACAGGAAAAAGCTAGCTCAGACTAGGCAAGCTATGGATTTATTTTCTCTCTCTGCTCTTGATTGTGGACATTATGCTTTACATTCATGCCTTGACTTCCCCACGGCAATGAACTGTAAATTGAAAGACAAGTAAATTCCATCTTCACTAAGTCGCTTTTTGTCAGGGTATTTATCACAGCATCAAAAAAGAAACTGGAACAACACCGAAATGGGATATAATACAAAACAGGAAGCATGTTCCTGAATTAAATTAAAGAAATTCACATATACAAGAAATATTACCATATTCTGTGATCAAGCAATTGTATATACCAAGTGACCTGATTCACTAACTTTCCCTGATAGAAACTCACTGACTTATATGATAGCATAGAAAATTAAGCAGGGGATCTAAAATACATGTAAGGTATTTTTCCAGGAAACAAAACTAATTTGAGAAATGTATCATTTGAATAAAGAATAAAAAGTACTTAATCTGGATAAATGATAGAAGGTAGACAAAGCACTTCTGGAAAACAAAATGAAACAAAACAAAACCACTGCCCCAAAAGGATACAACAAGAAAGGATACACTTGTATGACAGTATTACAGCAGTATTTACGCAGGAATGCTTCTAAAGAAGAACAGCAGAATGTAGTTTATTTTTTTTCTAATCTTTAGCAATATATTTTTTAATAATTTACTAAAATAAAGACTGAAATTCTTCATTTTTTTTCTGTATAGGATTTTTTAGACATCTGACTCTCTTGACAGTAAACTTAAATATTCCAAGAAATTCACAAAGATTAAACAGTATGCAAATAATTCTATTTTGATATGGTTCTTTTTCAGCTAAACAGCAATTTTGACCAATGATTTTCATATTCTTCCAGGCTCAAAGAGTAGAATAACAAAAAGTAAAATATCTCTAACTATCCCCCATTCCCAAAAAAACCAGAAACGACTCTTTCCACTGATTTCTCAAAGAAACAGATTAAGAATTTAAAATTTTCAGTTTCACTACTTCAAATCATTCATTCACTTAGGTATTGAAGCTACCTGTTCTAAACAAATTATACCTCAGAATCATATTTTTGTGAAGAATGTTAATAATATATAGGATGAAATACAGAGCACTGTAGAATTTTAGTAACTGCTTCAGTTCTGAAAATGTAGTTCTTGGACCAAACACCTCAGTATTACCTATGAACGCAATGAGTGTACAATGGGTCAGGTTCCAGGATATCCAACTAGCTCTGGTTTGCCAAATATTGTTCCTTGCAATACTTGCAATTACTACATGCTGAGAATCCCTTACTGATAGGATAAATGGGGTTACTGCTTACCCACCTCAAAATCACTGACTCAGAAACTCTTGAAGTGTAGAGCCAGCAGTGTGTTTTTAATCAAGCTCTCCAATATCTAACATAGGTTAGATATTAAAATATCATCATGCAGAAAACATAAAATAACAATAACAACCAATACATTCTCTTTATAAAATCCTCTAAAATTGTTACACACAAGCTTACTTTAATCTAGTTATAATTTTGAACTTAATCAGAATAAACAGTATATACAGAAATTTTCTTAAAAACTCATAAAATAGCTGAATTAGTAATCTATACTTCCATATTTCTTTACATTTACTCCAAGAATTTTTTTTTTTTTACTCCACTTAATGCTTTATTCTCACTTACCTTTATTTGTTTGTATCACTTCCGTTTTCCTTCTTTAGAATCGTGTTTTGGTCTAGCAGATCGAGCAAACTGCTAATATGTTAACATTAAGGTTTCCATAGTGAATATAAAAGTGTTTTTTTTTCTTTAGATAGTCAAGATCTAATATACAAGAATTCACAATATATAGTACTAATATCTAATATAGAAGACTTAAAAAGTATTTTCCCTAAAACTTGCATGATCTTCACAATTTGAAAAAAAAAATAGAAAACATCTGCCTTTCCTTGTAACTGTCACTTTTCTCAACCATATTTTCACTGATTTCTAATGTAAAACTTGATTTACTACTACAAGAGAGTTATACAATGATCTATCTTGGTCACTGAAATACCGAAGTAGAAATGTGAATTATAATTAAAGTACAGAGGAATCCCTTCCAGTGACTCCAATATATTTCTAGGCACTATGCCTTGAGTTTAACAGGAAGAAATAACTTAGAGCTTCACAAACATACAGACTTAGCTGGCCTTCGCTTTCCACTGCTAAAGTTAGGATTTCTTTCAAATAATGATTAAGTGTGTCATCTGACTGAGCTAAGGCATATTAACTGTTAAGTAACAACTCAAGCCCGAGCAATTGCTGACACTATCAATGATAACTTGATATTAGTTATTTATATCTTCCCGATAAAAAGTGTATGGTTTTAAGGTAGATTGGTTTAAAGGATACAACCACCATGGGTTTTCCGAAAAGAACATAGCCATTAGCTTCTTTCAAGGCTTTAGCTGCTGCTTTTTCATTTGGAAGTCCGACAAATGCTTGTCCTTTCATGCGTCCTTCTTTCATTAAGCGAATATCAAACCTAGAAGTTAAAAAAAACAAACAAACAAGTAATTCTGATGTAAAGCCTATCAATTTTAAAATCATGCATCAAAAATCATAACAAGCCACTTTTGCTATTTCAAAGTAACACTAGAACTATTAACCTTAGAATTAGATATTTGAAAACTCTATTTGATACTGATTTTAATAAGTAACAATTGTTATGCTTAAAATTTTAAAATTATACCAGTAGCAAGGATATAATAAAAACCTTACTTTGTGGTTGTACTATGATACAGGGTTCTAATATCAGCAAAGCAAGCTAAAATTGTTTTTGTTTGTTTGTTTGCTTAGAGTTTTTTGTTTTTGTTTTTCAGGACAGGGTTTCTCTGTGTAGCCCTGGCTGTCCTGGATCTTGCTTTGTAAATCAGACCTGCCTCTGCCTCTTCACTGTTGGGATTCAAGGCATATGCCACCACAACCCACCAATTTTTTTTTTAATTAATCCGTTTATACATACAGTGCGATGAGTTCAATAGTATATATACACTCAAGTGATTTAAAAATAAATACATAAATCGAAGGCTAAGAGAAACGAAGTAATTGATTATTGGCTTTACATTATTGGCTTTATATTATTATAAACATTTATAAACTTTTAGAGTACATAAGGGACTTACTAGATATTCAAATGTTAGATTTTATCAACAGTACCTAGAGACAGAATGACTCTTCTGAGCATAGGGCCTAAGTTGCATGTTATCCCTAGTTTAATCCTCACTATATCTTATTATTTATTCTATAGTATATTCATAGATAAACATTTTTGAGAGAAAACTTTTTAGGAGCTATTTATAAAAATAAAATTATAACTTACAATAAAAATATGATCTAATATTATAAACCAAAAAATATAAACAAATCCTATCAACTGATGAAGCTAAGTAACAGCTCAACTGGAAAGTGCTTGCTTTGATGATAAAAGGACCCATAGTCAATCCTTTAAACACTCATTGAAAAAAAAAAAGAAACAATACAAAAAACCAAAAACTGGGCATGGTTGATATATGCTCATAATTACAAAACTAGAGAGACAGAAACAGATGGGCCTTGACTTACTGGCCAGCCTGACTAGCCAACTTGCTAACTACAGATGAGCAAACAAATGCAAAAAAAAAAGGGCATATGATGAACACATACCAATATATACCACACAGAGTAATGACCCACATGTATCTATGTATTTTACACACACACACACACGAAAATGAAGTGATTTAAAAAAAAATTCGTTACTAGTCTCATAGATACAATCATTTGGGGATCTATAACCTTTTTCCAAATGGAATTTTTCCTTCATCCATCAGGCAATGTAAAAAAGTTGAGTACTAATGCTTTAGTGTCAGAGGCTTAGGGACAAAAGTACTAAATAAATAAGGATAAATAAATAAGCATTTATAAATAAGGATTTAGAAAAATATAACCAGAAACATTTATTAGTATGCATTTTCATATCAGCTTTCATAGTTAGGAAAAATTGAACAAATACGATCTAATGTAAAATATTAAAAATTTTATTTGCTCATTTATATACAAATTTGCCTATCCCTGCTCTAGACTTCTAAAAGGACATTTGTGTAAGAGAACAAATGACTCATCATGTGAGTTTTAGCACTAAAGAGAAAAATCATGCATAACAAAACATGATGATTTTTTAACAGATAAAACACAATATGAGATCAGAACTACCACTTACATGATCCGCTGTGTGTCTGAAGAAAAGTCAACGTATCTTCCAAAGATAAATTTAAGGTCCTAGAATTAGAAAATTAAAAAAAAAAAAAGACAAATTAGAAAAGTAGTCGGAAAAGTAAATAACAAAATCAAATGCACATTTCACCATACCTTTTCCTGAACGTGCCTAGCTAAATTCTTTACATAAATTCTGCAGTTTGGTTCACCAGGTTCATAACTTCTGAAAACTGAAAGGGTTTCCATTTCTTTTTAAGAACAAAACAAAGAAAAATATAGAATTAAAATCTTTTTAGTAATTGTTAAGTAAAACTACAACATTCTATTATAACTGCTAAAAAGGCAAAAATAAGCTTTATATAAATGTTAACAACAGACAATAGTAGCAATATTTCTCAATTACACAGAACTAAAATTTATCCCAAAGCCATATTAAAAATTCTTTGAGGAGTCACTTTATCATAAATATGTGATAACCCTTACATACATAATCACTTCTGCTAGATCAGGAGAGAAATGGGGGTAGGAGGCTCAGGGTAGAATATGGGAAGGAAGAGGGGGGATGGCTGGATGGTTATGGGAATGAGATCTGCAACTGACAAGGGTAGGGGGGCATCTCCAGGAAGAGACATAGACCCTGGATAGGGGAGGAGCCCAAGAATCAATGAGACTCACAGCACTGAAGATATGAACTAGTGAGGCTGCCTCCAACAGCCAGGCAGGAATCCCAGTAGAGTAATAGGGATATCAACCTATACAAAAAACTTTCAACCCAAAAACTTATCCTGTCCACAAGAAATGCAGGGATTGGGATGGAGCAGAGACTGTGGGAATAGCCAACCAATAGCCAGCCCAACTTGAGCCCCATCCCATGGACAAGCACCAATCTCTTGACACTCTTAATGATACTCCGTTATGCTTGCAAACAGGAGCTTGAGAGGACCCACTCAGTAATATGCAAATACCTACAGCCAAACAGTAGATGGAGCCTAGGGACTCTCATGGCATAATAGGACAAAGGATTGCAGCCTCTAAGGAGATAAGAACTCCACAGGAAGACCAACAGAGTCAACTAACCTGGACCCTTGGAGCTCTCAGAGACTGAACTACCAATCAAAGAACATACACAGGCTGGACCTAGACCTCACCACACATATGTAGCAGATATGCAGTTTGGTCTTCATGTGGGTCCTACACAACTGGAGTGGGAACTATCCCAAAAGCTGTAGCCTGTATATGGGGTATATTCTTCTAGCTGGGCAGCCTTGTCTGGCCTCAGTGGGGGAGCAAGCTCCTAGCCTCCCAAACACTTGAAGTGCTAGAAAGGGAGGAAACCTAGTGGGTCCCCACCCACTCTGAGGAGACGTGGAGGGGAAATGGGGGAAGGATTGTGGGAGGGGGTTAGGAGAAGGGGGGCAATCACTGGAATATAAAGAAAATAAATAAAAAAAATTTTAAAAAAAAGAAAATAAATGAATGAATGAAAAAATAAATAAAATTTATTTCCCAAATCAGCCACTTTCATATTCAAATATAGGAATGATACATTCAAAATTAACAGTCAGGAATTTCAGACAAAGGTCTCCAAACTCCTTTATAGTTCTTCATATTTACTACCAGTAATATGCTTTGGGAAACTAGATTGTATATGCGAAGATGTTAATGTAGGCTGATTACTCATTATTGTAAAGAAAGGTATTTATAATTTTTTTTAAAATACTAAAATAAAAAAAATCATTTAGAGGTGTGTTGTTTTGAACCCATATGTTTGAATACTTGGTCCTCAGTTAGTTGAATTGTTTGGGAACGATTAGGGGTACGGCCTTGGAGGTGTTATCTCTGGGAGCAGTATCTGAGGTTTCAAAAGACTTGAACCATTCCTAGTGTGCACTCCCTACAGCTTATGAATCAAGATGTGAGTTCTAGCTATTCCTGCCATGATGCCTTTGCTCTACCACCATAGATTCTAATGTTCTGAAAACATAAGCCCAATTAAATGAGTTTTCCATTTGTTGCCTAGGTCCTGATTTTGTCATATAGAAAGTGATTAAAATTTATTACATATTTTTTTCTAAAGTTATATAAGGAATAATTTTAGGATATAACATCCTAAATTCAGTTCTCTAATTACCAAATTGTATCTACTTTAGAGCATATGACAATGATTTCTCAACTTAAGTAACTCAAGACACGAAGCACTTACTGGTTGTCCAATACTAACTGCACTGCATGGTAAGGGACTCCCCCAGTATAAGATTTAAGTTTCTAAGAAAGAAGTGTTAACAAACTAACTGGAGATATTAACACGCAATGGAAATGACCCATAAAAATTTCTAACTTCAAGAAGAATGAAAATGTAAATAAGACATAAAATATAAGATAAATTATGTGTTGGTTTATGTCATCACATTACCTTCTCTAGAAATACGACCCTTTTCCAACTCTCTTCTAGAAATAAACTGTGAGGGCATTTCATCAGAGTCTTCTTTAATCTCTTCTGTGATGTTCAAATTAGGTTTGGGGAAGATTTTTCCAAATCCTGTATTTGAATCATCAAGTCCAGTGTCTGGTGAATCTAAGAGTCAAACATTAACATCAGTCATTAACATCAGTCATTAAAAATAAAAACTAAACAAACAAATGAAAATAACTCTTGCTTTAAAACATATTTTAGATTTCTTTGTTTTACATTTACTAATGTACCATTTTGGTCATTTTTGTGTTTCTCGGTGTCTCAGAACAGAAACAGGACAATCTTTCCTATAAATCTCTGAAGAACAGTGTTTTACGGTTTTGTTGCCCAAGCCTTTGACTATTCAGTTGTTATTGCAGCATGAAGGCAGCTACAAACAAAAGCTGAAGAGTCAAATGCTTGCTTTTTTAACACTAGTTAGGGGGCAAAGAGGAAAGAAAATAAATTTAGCTTTAGCATATTCAATTTGATGTATCAATGAGAATCTGACGAAAATGTTCAATGTTAGATAAGAGTATGTATACTGGTATATAGCAATTGATTGTTTAACCTATCCTCTCTGAAGTAGAAACAATTACAAGTTAAAATAAATGTGCAATTATTTAAATTATAAAATTAGTAGTAATTTAGTACTCTAAATCAAAGTCATTTAAAATAATCTATAATGATTATGAGAATTGCATAATACTTTATCACAATACTGTTAAATAATCTTACTCTCTTCAACATAAGTTAAAACTTGTGTCAAGAACGGTAAGCTGAAATGAACAAAAAAGTTCTATAACCTTGACACCACTCCAAGATAAATAAGGAATAATGTTCATCCTTCACGGACAATTATTTCATACTTAAAAGCTAACAATTTTTGAAGTTCACCATTTACTTTAAATAGCAATGTACTATATTTTAAAAATATGATGAAATCTTCTAAATAAACCTCAAAAGCAAACTCTGGGATAACAGACTACCTTTCAAAAACATAAAATATTTTATTTATATAATTATAAAACTGTACCCCATAGATATGTTTAAATTTGTTTATTAATTATAGTAAAAATATATTAATGTGACTAGCCATGAAATGAGAAAAGTAACAAAGAAAAGTAGAAATATTAAAAATACAGCTAATGCAAAGGGCAAAATATATTAAGGAACAGGTAATTAAAAGTTCACATATTACATATACAATCCTTATTAGAACTCTTTATTTATAAAAGTAATCAAACAAGTAATATAAAATATATTCTAGTATTTACACTAACAAATTAGAAAGAATTGAGGCTGGGTGGAGACTGCTCAGTGGTTAAGAGTGCTTGTCCCAGAACCATGAAGACTAGTGTTTGGATCCAAGCTAGAACTTGCTATATAACAAACTCTAACAAAAAAAAAAAAAATATGGTTTTATACATGCAAGATGAAGTATTTTAAATTTAGGATGTCTCCTACATCTCCTTATATTAAAGTCTTGACCTCTGGCATGGCAGTATTTTGAGGTGTATTAAAACTTGAACAGTGAGAAGTCTTCTCATATGATCCTGAAGCGAGTTTTTGGATACTAGCCTCTTGATACCTCATACTGTTTTTGCTTCCTGGATATTTTGAAGTAGGCAGTTTTCTCTGACACATGCTTTTTCACAGACCCAAAATAAAAGGGCTGACTTTCTAAAACTGTGACCCAAATACATCCTTTTCAAAGCTATATAAGTTATTCTGTTACAAACATAAATCTCAGATCATCAAGGCTAGAATAACATTAACAAAGACAATTAAAAATTAGTCACATTTGAAGAATAAAGGAATATTCCATATTAACTTTTTAAAATTTTACTTCATGTATTTTGTGATTAAATTTCTAGTAGCATATATTAATTCTGAAACATATATTTAAAGGATGTCATTGTGGGGCTAGATAGATGGCTCAGTAGTTAAAAGCATATATGGCTCTTGCAGAGGTTCAGGACTCTATTCCCAACATGCTACACAGGTGGCTCACAAGCCTTGTAACTCCATTCCAGGGTTCTCATGCTAGTCTAACCTCAGCAGGCAACAACACTCAGCAGGCAGGCATCTTCACTCAAGTGTCCATCTGCCTTCCAATATATCTTTTAAATGAAGAATACCACTGTTACTAAGAAATTAGGAGTATCAATAAGCATTGAAACGTTTTACTCCTTTGAGTTTTAGGTAAAATGTATGTGGACATGCATGTGTGCGTGCATGTGTATGCATGTGTGTGTGTGTGTGTGTGTGTAAACTAAAAACTCCAGAATAGTAGCAAGGCTTATTTGCTTAAAATTATACAATTCTGTTAATAGAATCATAGAATATCTTATCAGTCAGACAATGAATAGTTGTTAATATAAGAAATACTATTATTGGCCTTCAAGAGTCAGACATATTCAGAGGCAGATGCTCACAACTAGCCATTGAACTGATCATGGGGTTCTCAATAGAGGAGTTAGAGTGAAGACTGAAGGAGCTGAAAGGATTTACGGCACCATGAGGAGAGCAACAATACCAACCAACCACAGCTCCCAGGGTCTAAACCACCAGCCTGGGAGCACTTAGGGGGGGATCCAGGGCTTCAGCTGAATATGTAAAAGTGGAGGGCCCTGCTGGGCATAGGTGGAAGAAGAGAACCTTGACCTCATGAAGGCTGGATGCCCCAGGGGGTGGGAATTTTGAGGGTGGGGAGGTGGGAGTGGGGGGGTGTAGATAGAGGTTACATCCACAGAGAAGAAGGAGGAGGGGCGAGGGGATTGGGGGTTCCGAGGGGGTGGTGGGGGATGGGGTAAGGGGACAACATAGGAAATGTAAATAAATCATCCAATAAAAAAAAACAAAAAACAAAAAAACAAAAAAACAAAAAAACAAAAAAAAACCAAAAAACCAAAAAACAAACAAACAAAAAAAACAAAAACAAACAAAAAAACAAAACAAACAAAACAAAACAAATAAACAAACAAAAAAGAAATACTATTATTATCAGCATTTAAATCAGCAGAACCCGTAAATCTCATGTAGATGTGACCACTAGTAAAACATAACAAGAAGTCAGGAATGCTGGTGCATACCCTTGATTTTAGCACTGGGGAAAGTAGGACTGCATGTGTTTAATAGATGTTTGGGACAGAAGATCCTATCTACAAATATCAGAAAAAAATAAAAAATAAAAAATAAAAAAAAAACAATGACAATCTTTCCAAGTTTTATTTAGGTAACAGCTGATAATAAATTAGCCCAAGATATTAAGGCTCACCTAACTATATAATTTACTTTAATTTCTGAAAAAAAAATCTTTTCTTTTTTTACACGTTAGAGTCTTATTTAACCTAGGCTATCTTCCAACTATTAGCAAAAACGTACCTGAACTTCCGAGTCCCCTGCCTTCATTTACCAAGCACTGGAAGTATAAGTTTGCCTTAGCATGCTCAGTTTATGAAGTACTGGGGACACACCAAGTGCCCTGCATGTTCTCTACCAACTGAGTTACACTCTCAGTATGTAACTGAATACTTTAAATAAAGCTGACAAACACTAATACAAAATTTATATTAACATAAAAAAGTTGTTAGCATATAAAGTAACTAAAATGTTCTTACCAGAATTCTTTTCCTCATTACTTTGTTGAGTCTCCAAATCTTTGGTAAATGCTGCAGGCATGTTGGTCGATATATTGAATTCGATTTTTTTATTACCTACAGGTTGTGGTTGGTCAAATACATCCGAAGGTAACAGCACAGGATGCAAACTGGTATTTACACACAATCACAATGTAAGTTTCTAATTAAAAATAAAATTCTAGAACATTATTTCATATTTTCTTTAATTTAAAAGGATACATAAAACATTCACTATAATATAGGCATGACACATATTGACTAGACTTAGTAGGCCAATAAAGCCCAAAAGTTTAATAATGGTGCTATTAAATATCTAATTTATAGATTAGGAAAGCAGATGTTCAAAAGTTTAAATAAAATAATTTTGTAATTGATTTTAGACTATAGGTGTGCACTTGTTCACATATATGTATAAAATAGTATAAAACATTTATAAAACACTATTTTTATTTGTTTTATATTTATTTTGTATGTGTGATAGAGTACATGTTTAGCTCAGAAGACAAACTGTGGTAGATAAGTCTTTCCATCATGTGGATATTTACGATCAAAACCGAGACATCACCATTGGCCGCAGGAAACTTTACCCAGAAAACTATCTTACCAGCCCATTTCATTCAGGATTAAACTTGCTATGTGTAGCAGAGACTGACTTTGAACTTGTAATCATTCTGCATTCCTCTCCCAAGTGCTATGATTATAGGTATATACCATATCATCTGACAGTATTTTAACAGTTTATATTATACACTGTGACATCAGTGCTAGAGTATGCAACTTAGCAGTCATTAGCTACATGTAATTAATGAATTTTTGTAAAGAAAAATGTCCAAATGCTCAACATTTTCATACAGATTATATGATGAAATAATATTTTGAGTCTAGTGGATGAAATAATTATCATTATTGTCTTAACTTGCTCATTTTTATTGTGTAATGTGGCTACAAGAAACCACAGTTTACATTCTTTCTGCTGCTCGGTACTAAGGGATTAAAAGCATAGGACTATAATGTCAAGACAGAAAAAGGTTAAAGTGTTAATAATTTATACATCAGATTCTTCTATTAAAATGTAATTTGTTATGTTTTAATGTAACAGAAAAGTTAAATGAAATTATAATTGCAATCACTAGTAAGAAATAGTAAATATACCTAATCAGAGAAAAGATGTTAATAAGAAATGAAAACTGTGTATCATCAAATGCAGGTAAACACAGAGAACTGTGAGAATTTACTTGTTTGGTAAATAGTAACCGAGAGGTCAACAAAGTAAACTGACAAACTGACACACTGAAGAATACTGATTGTTAGAGTGAGACAAATTCAGCACATACAGACAACCCTCATTTCGTATGTATAAACAAAATTACCTATGTGAAGCTGATGAAGTTATATTCAACATGTCCTTTATTTTTCGTTTTTTTCTCACGTGGCGTGGCTTTACTGTTTTGGGTCTTTGGGGCTGAAGATTTGCTAGTTCCATTAGTTTGTTCATTCTATGTTAAGTAAAGGGAAAGCAAACAAGAGTTGACATTCTAAAATATGGTTTATATCTCTAATACAAAATATATATTTAAAACTAATTTGGAGAAAACTTTAAGGCCAAAAATAAACATTATCAGTTTGATCAAGTTCATTTTCTAAATTAACCTGCATCATTTAAATCTTATTTTTAAAAAGTTCACCTAATTATGTTATCAGTTCTTAAAAAGATTTCAGTATGAATTATTAGCTATCCAAATAAAATGACATACAACTGAACAAAACACACAAATATATTGTATTATTTTGGTTTTTACTTTAATTACTAAACAAAGTATTTCTTTGAAAAGAGCATTTATTCTTACATATTTTATATTTGAACCATACATATTTGTTCTGTACATACTTACTGCTAATAAATCATTATGTGAAGAAAGTAGCTCTTTGAGAAAAAACAAAAATCGCCGGGCAGTGGTGGCGCATGCTTTTAATCCCAGCACTTGGGAGGCAGAGGCAGGCGGATTTCTGAGTTCGAGGCCAGCCTGGTCTACAGAGTGAGTTCCAGGACAGCCAGGGCTACACAGAGAAGCCCTGTCTCAAAAAAACAAAACAAAACAAACAAATAAACAAAAAAATCCAAATAATAAAGATGCTTTCAATTAGTAAACAACTGGTATCACATGAACAACTTTCCTCCATTATGATTTTGAACAGTTAATGTTTATAATAAATCTTGTTTAGGTATTTTGGTATCTTTCATAGAGGAGCAATTAAAAACTATCAACTAAAAATAACTCTCTTAAGATTTCATTTGTGAAACGTGAAAGTAAAATAAATATACAAACAAAAAATTGAGGTCATGGCTAAAAACGTTAGGCGTTTTTTCCCCCAATAAATACGTGAAAGAATAGATACAAGCTTCAAAGTATGAAGCTTCACAACAACCAAGTTTCAGAAACACTTGAAGCATGCACTTGTAATCCAGCACTTGGACCAGGGAAGGAAGATTTCAAACAAGGTCTGATTTATATAGCCAATTCAAAACAGCTAGGATTATAGAGTAGGACCACTTCTAGATGTCCCCACACCAACACAATAACAAAAATGTTATTAAAGATACAATATTTAAATACTGAAATCACATACCTATATTAAAATTATTCAGCCAAACTATACTACCTTTGAAAACAATAACAGGCAAATAAAAAAATTAATAAATATATGACTGCTAAATATATTTTTTGAAGATTTTGCTTTATACCCAGGTTATAAAAACATGCATCAGAAATTTTAAAACTCAAGATGAATGTTGGCCAGAATTTCATGCTATCCTTCTAAATGGAAACCTACAAAAATAAAAATGAGTTTAAGATAGAATATCACTGCATTTCTAATTAAGATCACTACTTTTACTTTTTAATGTATCTCTAAATAGGGCTACAAGTTTACTAAAATAAATACAACTTTCTAAGAGAATAATTAATAAAATCCAATGCTTTATACTACCCTTTAGTTTACAATATGGCAGAATGATTCTATTCAAAAAGTTCTATCCTTTCCTACTTACTGTGTCCCACCTGCATGTTGATTTTCCATGGAGAGATACTATGTACTGAATCATTACTTAGATGGGCATTAATAAAATTTTTGCTGAATGTATGTGTTTCCAAAAATTTTCTTGGATTCTGACTCATACTAACACTTTCTTTTTAAGCATAGTTAGTTAATAGTCATGTAATTTACCCATTAATTATCATGAGGTGGGGATTGATCCAAGGATCAAATAAAGCTAGCTAGTTGCTTTTGTATACACATCAAGTTTTCTTGGAACAGACACACCTATTCAGGAACTATGAATGTGGGTGATTTCCAGCCATGAAAATAGAACTGAGTCACAGCTGTGAAATGCGAGCCACACTGCACCTGATTCACAAAGTAAAAACATTTATTCTTTGTATCTTCAAGGAAAATGTTTGGCCAATTCTTGTACTAAGATAAGTTTAGATTACATGCCAGAAAATTGTTAAGAATTTATAATTACTTTATAGAATATTTAAATAAACATATAGAATCTCAAGGTAACCCAATGAAAATTTTATTGGTAATTACTAACATAAATGATTGTGGAAAAAATCTTATAAAAATTTCTCTAGAAATCATTCTGAAGAGAATATAACTCAGGGCAACCAGTTGTTCAAACTATGAATCCAATTAATGTTTATTATCTATGAAGCTATTTTCTATGAAATCATAGCAAATACTGGTTAGTGAATAAAACGCTACATCCAGACAAGTGTGAATTTTTTTCCAGCTAGTTTCTCCTTATAACATATGATAAAATGATAATACATACCTGTGTTTTACATGAGATATCTTGCTTAACAAATATTAATGATTTAACTCATATTCAATACTATTACAACTTTGGCCTAATATTCTCATAGGCATAGTTTTCTTGAGCTTAGCATCACTAGACTGCACTTAAAGATTATAACTGAAAACCATCTGAATGTATTAATTAGTAATAAAACAAAAGTGTGAAAAACATGAAGCATAAGTAGACCATTAAAAAATAATATATGTAACTAGTGTGAAAGTTAAAACAAGAAGTTGGGATATAACTGCTATAATTTGGATATGAAATATTTCTCAGTGGTCTATTTTTGAAAAACTTGATTTCAAGGATGGTAGAACCTGATGAGCACCTTGAGCTACTTAGAAGAGATCATGGAACCATGACTTTTGCATTTCTCTATTGCTTTTAGAGTTGCAAAATGAGTAGTATGTGCTGTCTTCTGATTTGTCCACAAACCTAACGAAATGGGGACATAGCTGGTACCCTCCCAAATCGTAAATAAAACTACACTTTTTTTAAAATTATAAGTTAAATCCCAAGCACTTCAGTATAACAACTGGCTACTTTATATCTCATTTGTTAACCTATGTGCCAGTGACTAAAATTTTCAGGGTACTGTTTATACTCATAACTACAAAACACTTTATAAATACAACAGGTCCTTGTAAAGAAACAATACAATTTAGAAAAAACATTTTTCTTTAAAAAAAAAAAAGCAGGTAATTTTGGAGCTACAAAAATTTTTATAAGCAAAATAACAAATATAGAACCATAAGCAATGAGGTTCGAGTATACTCTGTAATACAAAAATTACCAATCTAAAAATTGCTTAATCCAAAAATTTTTCTGAAGATCCATATTTTCTATATCCACTGAGCTTAAGATCGTAGGAGGTTTGAAATACATTTTAATACACTCTAAACTTTGACTAATTATATGTGAAATATAGGAAGAATAACTTTTCCCACATCCTTACTCTTAGAACAAAATGAGTATGTATTATCACAAACCTCTGTCGGTCCTCCTCATCACTGCTTTCATATTCTGATTCTTTACTAGATAAATCCTCATCCTCATCTGGTAAGGGAGGCTCCTCAGGAGGTTGAGGGGATGAAGGTGGAAGAGGGGCATGCAATGGCATGTAGTCCTCATACTATTGAAAAAAAACAAACAAACACACACTATGGAAAACAATGACATTTAAAGAATAGACAAATTATCTTGTATAAATTCTTGATTCTCATCAAGAGAATCTCATTCTCATTAATACTTGATTCTCATTTCTCTCCTATAAACTCAATGTACCTTCAGGGAACACATATGATGGCAGACTGCTAGTTGATAACAAGTGTTGTTTTCTATTTTCCCTGGCCATCTAGCTATACTTGTAAATATACCTTGCATTTCCACATGTAAATTAGCCCATGCAACAACAGCCTAAAACGCCTATATGTGATCTTCCCTTTTTATGGACAGGCACATAGTAAAGACAACTTGGATCTTAGAATGAAATATCCCTGCCTCCCTATTCTTTGAAATAGAATAGCTATGACAAGGTCTAACTTACTGTATTAACACTATCTAATATTATCTTATTAAATTACTAAGCAGCAAGTCCATGGTGGTGATACAATAACAAATTAGGCAGCTAATAGTTCACATAATAGTAGCCAACGCCAAAGAAAACTCTTTTTATTTGTATTTTAAAAGCCCAGAACCTTGAAATGCCCAAGATGCAACTCACAGGCCACATGAAGCTCATGAAGAAGGAAGACCAAGTGGGGGTGATTCGGTCCTTCTTAGAAGGAGTAACAAAATACTCAAGGGAGCAAATATGGAGACAAAGTGAGGGACAGAAACTGAAGGAGGGGCCGTCTGAAGACCATTCCACCTGAGTATCCATCCCATGTGCAGTCGTCACCAAAGGTAGATACTGATGTGGAAGTCAGGAAGTGCATGCTGATAAGAGCCTGATATGGATGTCTCCTCAGAGGTCTGCAAGAGTCTGACATATTCAGAGGCAGATGCTCACAACTAGCCATTGAACTGATCATGGGGTTCCCAATGGAGGAGTGAGAGTGAAGGCCACTGGAGCTGAAAGAGTTTGTGGCCCCATGAGGAGAGCAACAATACCAACCAACCACAGCTCTCAGGGTCTAAACCACCAGCCTGGGAGCACTTAGGGAGGGATCCAGGGCTTCTGCTGAATATGTAAGAGTGGAAGGCCCTGCTGGGCATAGGTGGAAGAAGAGATCCTTGACCTCATGAAGGCTGGACACCCCAGGGGGTGGGAATTTGAGGGTGGGGAGGTGGGAGTGGGGGGGTGTAGGTAGGGGTACATCCTCAGAGAAGCAGGAGGAGGGGTGAGGGGATAGGGTATTCCTGGGTGGGTGGGGGATGGGGTAAGGGGACAACATATGAAATGTAAATAAAACATCCAAAAAATTTTTTTAAAAAGCCAAAATAATTTGCACTATTATATAAATATATACAGTATCACAGTGAGATAATTTCAAGAGCAGACAGCCTACCATGTAAATTTTTCATAGACTTTTTGTAATCTTATTTATCCTTACCATATAAAGCTAGATGCATGTGAATTAAAACCACAGCAATGGAATATTTGGATAACTCAAATAAAATTATCTTACATTTATAGGATGATATATTAGCCAACCAAGAACATAAAACTGGAAGACATTTTGGCTTTACTAAGAAAGCATTTCCTTCATATCTCATTCTCTTCCATTTTTACTTCTCAGCTTTACTACTAGTAAATACAAACTTGTTACAAAAAATTTTAAAACGGTTTTACAGGAAAAAAAAAAAAAAAAAAACAAACAAAAACCCATAGCTAGTTCTCAGGAAACAAAACTATGGCTCCTAAAATTTTAAGAACATCTTACCATAGGAGGTCGTGCAGTAACCGGTCCAAATGGTGTGGGTAAATTCATTTTATTCATAAGATGAAGCACCTTAAAGTGTAAAATATTTAAAAGTCACATGAAATTAGTGTTATGATTAACATCAGCGATTTACTGATCAAAAACCAAAGTCCCTCTCTGGCCTTATGAACTAGCCTTAATCCTACATTTTTTCTGTAATTTCTACAAATACTGATTTTAATTCATATTACTATAGCGTAATGTCTTTGCAATGTAAACCTACGAAAATGTTCTCATATAATTAATTGTCCCTCTTTACTGTGAGTCTATGAAACAAAGAATAAAGAAAATACATACCACATACTTTTATACTTCAGAGAAGTAACATTCTGTTCAGTTTTTCAAACATTTGCTAAAGGATCTATCCCTATCTTTTCTTTAAGAATTTCTGAAACTCAATGCTACACTCAAGTAACAGTTATATTAAATTACATTTCCCAGTGTAGATCCCTATTAGTATCCACTTACATTGCATTTATGAAGCCTTTAATTGACAGTAGCATGTAACAGTTCATTTTATTTAAAACATTACATAGAACATTGCCTGTCTGGAACTAGTTGTTCAGAATGTTATAAATATATTCGAATACCAGCACAGTATCTAAGGAACCAAATTATAAGCTTCATACTAAAAGTGAAAGTTGATTCTGCATACCTGTACATAGAATTTAGGGACACTTGCCAGAGCATTTACTATATTTGCAAGGATTGTGCTTGAAGGTGGTGGATACATATACTTGAGACATGAATTTAGAGGAAAAGTCAGCCTACAAAAACAAAATGAATTAAGGTACATGCTTATTACATTTTAGTAGTTTCATATCCATAACTCATTTTAGATAATCTATTATAGAAAATTGACAATATAACATAATAGTCATATATTTATCTTATTAAATATTCCTATTACCTTAAGGAATACAAAAGTGTTTCTTAACAAAGTTCACTTATATCCCTGAACACTCTAACAGGCACAGCTTTATTAAATTCAGTGAAAAAAACCCTCATAACTCGAAACATTTATTCAACACATTACACATGACATATTAAAAGTGCTGACTTTCAATACTACCTAATTTATATTATGTATATACAATATACAGAGATAGAGAGAGAGAGACAGACAGACAGACAGACACACACACACACACACACACACACACAGACACACAGACAGCAACAAAAGGCAGAATAAAAAAATAACAAAAATGCAAACCCATGATTTGGTGCAATTCCATTTTCTACTGTTAAAACGTCAGGCTCTTTCTTCTCTTTTTCATTTTCCACAGTGTCATCCAACCTAGAACATTCAAAATCACTAATCAAAAAAGTGACAAACTGTATATAGAAAATAAAAATCATTTCAAACATGACATTATGAAAACTATTAGAAAATCAGTGTGACTTCTCACACAAGCACTGCTGAGGAGGAGTACACTTAAATGACTTAGTCCTTACACTTACAAACATGGTACGGTAATTCCAAATGATCATGAGAAACTAAATATACGTTCCATTATAGGGTTTTAGGGTACTTAACTTTTTCTGTGCATCTCCTCACAAAACTCCAGACTTGCAGGGCCTTACCTCTTTTACCCTCATCTATTAAATTTCCGATCCTAGTAAGATTGGATCTTACATTAAAAGAGCTAACACGCTATAATTCAGCCAGGTTCCTGGATGATGAATGTAGCTTGCAGCTAGTGTAAAAAAACTCTGCAAAGGCTAAAGAATACAAATGTTCATCTTGGAACTAAAGTACTGATCTTCAATTTTTTCTTTTATTGAAAATCATTTTGTTTCTTTACAATATATCCTCATTATAGTTTCTCCTCCCTCTACTTCCAATCTCCCCCTTCCTCCCCTCCCCTCTGGATCCTTCTGTCTCTCACACTTAAAGAACAGGCTTCTAAGAAAGAAAAACCAAACATGACAAAATAAAATGTAACACGATGAAGCAGAAACTTTTATATTTAAGTTGGACACATTAACCCAAGAGAAGCAAGAGAGTCACAAGAAGAGACAGAGACCCACTTCTTCTCAGTCAGGAGTCTCATAAAAATACCAAGCTAATAGCTACAATATATACACAGAGGACCTGGTGCAGACCCATGTAGACCTGTGTCTACTACTTCAGTTTCTGTAAGCTTTTACAGAAGGCTTGTTCTGGTATCATCTCTCTTCCCCTTAGCTCTTAAAAATTCTTTCTCCCTCCTCTTCCTTGAGATTTCCTGAGCTCTGAGGGGAGGGAACAAGGGACAGGAGGGAACTAGAGTAGGGGAATCAGGCTGTGGGGGAGATGGAATGGAGGGAGAGAGTTGGGGGAGATGGGAGGCACTTGAGAGGTGGGATGAAAATCTAGTAAAATGGCAACTTTCTGGAATGTATGAAGGTGATCCTAATGAAGTACCTAGTAAGGAGTGACATTGCCATCTCTTATCACCAGTCAAGGCTTCCAGTGGCAGGACTAGATAACATTCAATTGAGTTGTTGGCCATGGGAATCTCATGGCAATTCCCAAACATCCCAGCCTGTTGCTAAGACAAAGGATTACTCTTCACAAACTGACAATGGGGTCTCATTGCCAAGGACAACACCCATAAAACTCACTGAACAAGGAGGGAAAAGTCAAGCTGATGCCTACATGGAGACTTTATCCCTACATTCTAGTCTCTTTAGCAGGATACAGAAAGAGAAATGGGGAGACCGACCTAGTCACAAAACCTTTGACCTACAATCTGTCCTGCCTGCAAAATATGCTACAGCAATAGTGGCATAGAACCTGTGAGAGTAGCTAATTAATGACTGATTTGACTTAAGGCCCACTCCATGAGAGGGAAACCATGACTGACAATGCTTGGTTAACCATGAACCAAAGACTGGATAGCCCAGAGACCTAGGAAAAAACCAAATATTACTGATCTAAAAAAAAGTATCAATAAAATGACTCCTAATGATATTCTGCTATTCTCACACAACATAGTCATCAGAAAGCTTCCTCCTGCAACAGCTGCGAACAGGTACATAGACCCACAGCCAAACATTACCGAGTCTAAATGTGAAGACACCAACAGAGAAGCTATAATTTTCTACTTGTCATTATCTCTACTAGAGTGTTATTACTATAGGTTGAAATCTGAAATGCTATGAAATCTGAAATGCTATGAAATCTGAAACTGAGGCTACATGATAGTACTAATAAAATTATTTTGGTAACACTGTAATGCACACACTGAAAATATTATATAAATTACCTTCAGGAAAGTTGTACAAGGCAGATATAAAACAAATAAATGTCATGTTCAGGCTTAGAATAATACTTCAAAGACAATGAATCATGTATTGGTGAATATTGCAAATGAAGTTCTGTTTATCCCATGCATTGCTGGACGGGGGATAATTAACCTTCAGTTGCCCTTCTTCCACTACATGTAGAGTGCTATCCACCCCACTTCTTTTTCACTTAATTTGTTAAGCTTTCAAGCCTCAGCTCTCTGCATAACTATAAGTAAAAATACTGCTTTACTTTTTAAATTTACTAGAAAAACATTTTATTATGTTTTCAACATATTTTCTTTATCAATATCGCAATACCTATAAAAATCATTGAAACACACACAAAAATACTTCAAAATGGTAGGAAAACCTGAATATCTACATACCTTTTCTTTTTCTCTGTATTGGAGGTGGGACATGGGGAATGAACTCGATCTTGCTCTTTTGCAAATTCAACAACTAAAGTATGACCTAGAAGTTTCAGCTGATGGAGTCTTGTCAATGCCTTTAAGTACAACAATATAAAATATATTAAAAAAATTGTTACTCAGCTTAAAAGATGATAATTTATTCTTTTTTACTAAATTTCCTTAGTTATGTCTTATCTTAGGCTATTTTACCATTATTACTAATCAAAGTACTCTAGTCAAATGAAATCTAACTCCAATTCTCGTTAACTGTGCTTGTACTTGACAAAACAAAAATATTAAGTCTTCTGGTTACCAATAAATTTCAACCACAAAAATCTCAAGATGACCCTGACATCAGAAAATTATGTATCACAATCTTGGCCTAAATTGCATTAATCTTTAAGAGAAAATTGTATGTTTTCCTTAATATGTAGCTTCACGCAGTTTCTTCTCCCATTCTCTTAGAATAATATTTGGTTTCTACGTGAGGAGACTAAATGTGAACTCTGAACTCCCAACCACTAGCATTTGTATCTATATATTCTACTTTGCATGTTATCACAAATTATCAGTCTGTATATTTATCTAAACCCATAAGTTTATACTTATTTACCTCAACCTTCCTAATGTCGAAACCCTTTAATACAGTTCCTTATGACATAATGACCCCAAATATGAATGCGAACAAGTTTAATATGTCTTATCTGAAATGGCTGGGATCTGAATTCAGATTTTTAGGTCTTTTCATGTTTTATATATTTGCAATCATAATCAAGTACCATGGAGCTAATATCTAAGACTAAACACAGCATTCACCTGTGTCATACTTGACACACTCAGACCGAAGATCATTTATATATGTTTAATGTTTGCAATTTGACTGTGACCTGTTAACTGAGATAAGGTATTATTTTTAGAGTTATGGCATTCCTCTCTCAGTAAGATTTGTGTTATTCCTACTTTTTTCCCCCTGTTTTAAGAAAAGCCTCTGAGCAGAGTATGGTGGCACATTTAGTCTCAAAACTCAGGAAGGCAGAGTTAGAGGCTGCGGCAATGTACATCTCTGTGAGTTCAATGAAAAGCCTGGTCTATGTAGTATGCTCCAGGCCAGTCAGGACAACATTGTGAGACTCTTATTTCAAAAACTCTGATCAGTAAGACTGCTCACTTCTCAGTATGTCTCATCACAAAATCTCCAACTTATTTTTTGCATGAAGATAACATGTTTTTCATTTTTCAATTCCTTTTTCTTTTTAAAAACAAGCCAAATTTTCTCTTAGCTAATCTTCCTTTGGCCCATCCTAGCCATTTACATATTAGGAGCAACATTGTTAACTTTTCTCAGTTCTAGAAAATATCTTAAAATGTTTACTGTTTCCATAGAAGCACTCCAAGGATGCCTCAATGTTAACAGATAACACAGAAACTCATTACATGCCTGTGAAAGACCCTCATATTCTTTTGTCACGTAAGCTAATCAGCCCAAAGATTTGAACCAGGAATGGAAAGACAGCTCAGCTGGTAAAACTGCCTGCTCCCAAGACTGAGACTATATTGTGGAAGGAGAAACCAACTCTTGTCCTCTGACCTCCACATGTGTGCAAGTAGCAAAAAAGAAATTTTTGAAAAAAAAATACTTAAGATCCTGAAGTACTTTTTGTTCTCAAATTTTGTATTACTAAGACCTACAAATTTTACTCCTGTAGTACTGGAATTGGACGTAGCACCTTCTGCACTCTATGCAATATTCTACTAGATTATTTCTGTAAAACAAGACTCAAACATTTTCTTTCCAAATCATACATGTACTTTTCTCCTTTTGTTTCCTTAGCGTCCTTTTCAGATTCATAGTATCTCTGCCTCTAAAACAGCTTCCCATGTAGTCTATCTGTAATTTTTCTCTACATCAAATTCGATATATAAATATAAATCCTATCAGACATTTTTAATCAGTCTAAGCCTATTCTTAACCTTCTCAATAGGATCAAGCCCTTTTAGGACACCTACTAAACCAAATTCAATACCTCTCTTACACGTAAATATAGTTTTCCTTTTTTTTCTATTTCTACCACTGCCTTTAGCTCCTGCCTGACTTATCACATTTCATGGCCAATTCTATTGTTCCTTAAACCTGAATGAACAATTCCTTCCTGTTTTCTTCTCAAAATTCAAAGAATCATTTGAGGCCTAGTTCAAAAGGGAAGCTTTTACAAATGATTCCTTGGGTGTCTCCCTTTTAATACTTATAAAGTTCTGAACTATAAGCACTAGACATGTTTATCTAATATTCTTTAGAATTTCTTTTAAAATTATACTTGAAATAATCCTTGTCTTACTTAATAATCTATGGTTCTCAAGTCTCAGTATCTAAGCACTGGACAAGCCAATTAAGATCTTTTGGGAAAACACTTGGAACACAAATGATTTTGCTTTTAAAAATGACAGTTTATTATTACTTCCCACTTTTGTCCTAAGATTGGATAAGAAATCTCTGAAAGCTTTAATAATAAAGAAAAAGACATACCTTTACTGCTGCTTTTTCATTAGGGAAAGTAGCAAATGCTGTATGTTTCTGAAATAAAATCAAGACACATATTATTTCCAAGATGATTCAGATGTCTAATAAAACATAGCATTTTTAAAATATGTAATATATTAATAAAAGTATAGGAAAGGATGAAAATTTAGACTATTTAACTGATTACTAGTTTTAGTCTAGTGGCTCTGAATCTTCTAGGGTCAGACTTCTTGGACTTGAAAACTCTTCAGCTTTGCCTCTGAACATAAATGAACAAGGACAAACACAATATATTTTATAATTGCAAAGATTTCAACAGATCACAACTTTAAAAATCTCTATTTCTGGGAGCTAGAGAGATGGGTCAGTGGTAAAAGTCAGCAGGGCTCTTCCCAGGGACCTCTTTGGAATCCCAATAACCATGCCCAGCAACTGCATAACCACCTAGAAACTCCAGCTCTAGAAGATCCTTCCAGCTTCCAAGGACACCTACAATCCTGCACTCCCCAAAATAAACATACACAAATGTACATAATTAAAAGGAAAACAAAGCTTAAACATCTCCTCTTCCCAAGAAAGATCAATCTTAAAACATTTGTACATATGAAATACCATTTTTCATCACTCAAAAATCTTAAATTTGCATTCTATACAGTACAAGAGAAAATTTAAAAGCATTTACTAACAGTGAAATCATCCCTCAAGTTGCAGTATCTTTTTGCTTTATTTTTATAATTTGTTTCAGTAATAAGTCTAATTTCTTATTTACATTCTATTTTCAAAACCATCATGAATAGGTAGATGCATGTATTATATTACAAGTAAGTTTGAGTTGTTTACTAGAAGTCTAAATTTGTTCAATCTGATCCAAGGTGACCTGAGTATATTTAGATTGAGTCAAAGAATATTTTTATTTGCATTTGTTGGAATACAGAACACTGTAAGCTCCAAATTGGTCTTTCTTCTTATTCAGTAAAGCTTAACTTTGACTATACAATTAAGAGTTCCTTGAAACTCTAAACCCACTCTAAATGGTGTCTGACTCCACCACAGAACACCATTTTGTATAAACTTATTAATAACAGTTATCTTTGTGACCGTAAAAAGCAAACATTCTCAAAAAGAAAAACAAAACAAACAAACAAAAAAACAAAAACCTGAGCATTCCACAAGGACTTTCAACTCTAAAAATACCGTTCGTTGAAAGATTACTTCCGAAAATGTTTATGACTTGTCAAAAATCTATTAAGTCTACAACAATCTAAGTTCTGGTATCATTGTATATCCTGCTCTACAACCCAAGGTTTTCAAATAAAGAAAGAATTAAAAAAACACACACAAAGCCAAAAAACTTGCATACGTCCCTAAGAATCTAAAGGAAATAACATCTCCAAGTCTAGACTAGTTTTGAATTCGCCGGGGTGAGTGCGCAAAGGATCCCTCAAGCGGCTCAGTCTCAAATCAGCTCTGGGCGCAACTCAAGGTGCACCTCGGCTGGTAGGCAAACTGCGCATGCGCACATGGCCGGCTTCCTCCCCGCTCTCAGGGTCCCGGAGGCCCGCCCCGCACCCTGCTGGCTGCACACGCTTACCAGGCGCCCTTTATCTGACAGGACACGCACTGACTGCGCCCCGAAGTACTTCAGTAAGTCCTCCTTCTCTTCAGCCGTCAGCTCGGCCGGCAGGTGCCTGACGAGGAGGGTGCGGTCGCCCCGGGTCGGAGAGAGGGAAGCGGAGCCTGGGCCTCCTCGAGACAACTGCATCGACGGCTCGGGCACCGCCATCTTCCACGCCGAACCAGCCTCACACAGACTCTGCGCGGACCCTGCCGGCCAAACTCCCGCAGTCACCGCGGCTGAGCTGAAGTTAGTTTCCGCTTCGCGCTAAGGATTCTGGTCGCAGGCAAATCCCGCGAGAGTTGATCTCGTGAGACTGGTCTCCGGGACAGCAGCGCTTCTGTTGGCGAACGGTTGCAGGGCAGAGCGTCCAGGCGCAGTACTTTAAATCTAATGAGGTGTTGTAATAAAAAAAGGCTGAAAGAGACGCCAATGTTAGAAGGCCAGAAATCTAATCGAGGAACGTCAGTGATGTGAAGTAAAGAGGCTGTAGCCCCTGGGACCAAGTACCGAAGGAACATTTTAAGGGCTGTTCTCCCTGAGATCTTAATTCAGATTTTCGGAAGTGAATTTGGTTGGTGAATGGAGAACTCTCTGGATTTGTAAAGTGAGTTCCTTGTTTTTAGGAATGGTGAAACACAGAGGTATCTAGCCTAAGATTAAACAGTGTAGGCAAGAGAACACGCCATATACAGTCGACATCTACAGGCTGAAGGTTCTTGCCACGATTTATTTATTAAAATTGGCTACTTCCATGAATAAGTACCTAAAATGTATAAGCATACATATACGTGTATGTAAGTTCTCAACACCTCACAAGTGAGGGTACTGACTAACGTAGATTAAGTCTCACTGATCATCAGTAGGTGAGATCTGATCCCTTGTACCTAAATTGGGGTCTACACTCTTGTGATCTAGATTATTAGGACATGGTAGTCCGAAATAATATCCCTTACAGATTAATCAAAATGTGTATGCGCAATCCGTAGAACTACGGTGTCTTTTACTTCTCTCCTAATTTGCTTGATGGATATGAGCTAGTTAGTACACAATACATCAAAGTTCTGCTTTGAGGAAGCATTGGATGGGAAGAAAAATTAGCAAAATATTGAGTGACTAGAGACAGGCCTTGTGAACCTTAGAGGTTTGTTAGGAACCTTGTTATATGAACAGAAACCCCCAGACTTAAGAGTGTGTGGAAGGAATACTTAATTTTGCGTTTGAAAAATCTCTCGCCGGGCGGTGGTGGCGCACGCCTTTAATCCCAGCACTTAGGAGGCAGAGGCAGGCGGATTTCTGAGATCGAGGCCAGCCTGGTCTACAGAGTGAGTTCCAGGACAGCCAGGGCTACACAGAGAAACTCTGTCTCGAAAAACCAAAACCAAAAAAAAAAAAAAAAAGAAAAATCTCTCTTTGATTTCACTATGAGAAGTAAAGCAGAAACTGGGCATAGTGGCACTACCCTTTCATCTCAGGTCTCAAGAGACAGAGACAGATTGATCTCAGTGATTTTTGAGGCCAGCATGGTCTACACTGAGTTCCAGGACAACCAGAGCTATATGTGAAGACACAAAGAAAAGGAATAAAAACAAAGTGGGGCACACTCAGAGGAAATCTGGTTCCTTTTCACAAGAAATTATTTAGATCTTAAGAATCAGACTATAAAATATTTAATATGTCCCCTACCAGTACAATATTGTATTTATGGGAGTAAATATCAATCATAAGTTCTTAATATAATACATCATTTTTATTGTGTCTTGGTCAGTAAGTTTATTGTCTTTATTTTTAACAAGTCTTAATAAAAAAATTGCTTTAAATCTCAACAGCCCATTTCTGAGCTCTGAGGAAGCTTGCCCTTCTTTTGAGCAACCCAATATTTCTTCTGCAACATTTTGACCCATGATGTACTTCTAATCTACTTTTGTGTTGAACTCCTTGCTTTCAAAATCAAACCCAGGGAATTGCTTGGTATCATGAGAGATAGACAAGCCTCCATTCACAGGTCCTTTCAGAGTACCAAAACCCTTATTGGAAGTTGTAGTTTGGGCAATACCTTCATCCAAATAGCAAGTACAGGCTCAAGGCATTGATAGTCCTATCAATGCTTTCCACATTGTATTCATCTCTAGTCACCTCCATCCACCTGGTTTTTATAGATTTAGGTGCAAGGGATCAGATCTCACCTATTGATTAGCAATCAGAATCTATGTCAGTACCCTCACTTGTGAGGTGATGAGAACTTACATATACATATATATGCTTATACATTTTAGATACTTATAGATTTCCAACCTATTGGAAACTCTGTGAGCCAGCAGCAGGCCAGTATAGTAGGCTACAGCATAATTTGTCAGGCCAACTTTCACCTGAATTTTGACAGTTCATAAACATATACTGTACAGCCTATCATATCCCCTTTGTACAGATAGACACAATCTAGTAGTTACATGAACTACTATATTATATTTGAGAGTCTTGTGCTTATTTTTGTAATTGATCATCAATCATTTCTGAGCATAGTAGTTATTTTTACCTTCTTGTAGCCTTCTAAATCTCACTTGGTATTGCTTAAAGTAGACATTATTCTTGGCAACTTTCACAAACCCCATTCTGCGGAACAGAAATACAAAACCACAGACCCATACAGATCTGCAGACCTGGAAGCAGTGGCCAGAGGTGGGGTGGTGGTGGGGGAAGTCTTGTATGCCCATTTTAATTTTTACCAAACTAAAGTGTACATGTAGCTTTAAAGTCTAGAAGTTATCTTCTGCTAATAGAAAAAGAAAATGGGTTTTGTGTTTAAGTAGCTGAGGGTTTGCATTGGTTGGGACTAATGGAACTACCTCAAATAGTACCCTTCGAAAAATATATAGTTTTATAATGGTCTGTTTTCTTATCCTGTCACTTACCTTACATATTCATTTTGATTGCTGCTTTGATTTTTAAGCAATCTGCTAGATCTGAGAAGATAGCTCAGTCCATAAAACCCTTATCTTGAAAGTAGGTAGACCTGAGTTTGAACCCAGAATCCACATTGTAAAAGCTGAGGATTGTTATAATTATACTATAATTTTAAAACAAAAGGCTAAGTGTCATGATCTGCTCTGGTAATCTCAGTGCTGTAGAGATGAAGACCAAAAGACCTATGGAGCTTGTTGGCTAGTGGATTAGTCAGGGTTCTCTATATTAACTTAACTTATAGAGAGAGAGAGAGAGGGAGAGGGAGGGAGGAAGATTTTACTAGAATGACTTACAGGCTATGGTCCAGCTAATCTAACAATTGCTAGCTTTCAGTACAAAGTCTAAGAATCCAGTAGTTGCTCTGCCACAAGTCCATTGTCTTGGTTAGTCTTCAGTATACACTGGAATTCCAAAGAAATAGGCTCTCATACCAGTGAAGGAATGGACTTAAAAGCAAGGTGAGAACAGGCAGACAAAGTGCAAAAGCTTCTTTTTTCCATGTGCTTATATAGGATTCCAGCAGAAGGTGTGGCTGCCCCAGACTAGACCTGGATTAAAGATGTGTCTTTCTACTTCAAAGATCCAGATTAGAAGTAGATCCTCCCATTTCAAAATAATCAAAAATCCCTCACCAATGTGCGATTCACTTGTTTTTTTTTTTTTTTCGGTAATTCCAGATGTAGGCAAATAGACAATAAAGAATAGCCATTACAAGTCTACCCCTTATCAGCTTGGCACACAAACATCTCATGTCATAAGTAATTTCCAAATAAAAACAGTAACCAGGTCATAACAGTACCTAATCACAATATAACTATCCCATATGCAATCTCAAATTCATTATATATTTAATTAAGTCATAATTATGTCTAACATAATTATTGATCATACAACTGCAAACATATTTTAAATACAAAATAGGTGGCAATTGAGGGATCATCTTTTAGTATCTCAAACTTACATATGATAACCATTGATATTCTCTTAATTGATATTATGTGATTTAGAAATTATAGAAAGAAAATAAATATCTTTACAAACACATTCTTAACAAAATACAAGCATTAGTGTCAATTATAATCCATGTGTCCCTGCTTTTATTAATTACTACCTTTCTCTGCTACCCATTCTGTATTTCCTCCACCCTTGGCAACTACCCCAGCAGGTCTTGGCACATTTCATGGAGTGACCCATATCTTCATTCCTGAAGGGTCTCTGCCCTTTGTCAGTCTGCCTGGATTAGGCAGTTGTAGTTTCCAATAGATATTAATCACAGGATATGGTAGCACCAAGAGATGCCCTAAAGGATCTTTGGCACTCCAGACAAGCTTTCTTACCTCCATTTCCAGGAAGCAATCCAATTTGACCACGATACTCTGTATCAACCATCACTCCTTACACTGTTGTTCTAGTCTGTTGGTTTAAGGGCATCAGAAGCTCAAAGTGTCCAGGGGGAGGTCTAAGCTTCCAGTTTAATGAAATGTTTGTTGTGGCTCCTGGGAGGAGTGCATCCCTGTCTGGAACCAAAGCTTCTAGCCCAGCAGAATGTAAAATTCTGGAAACAGGAAGGAAAAAAATCCTAGTAGGTTACTAGGGGTAATAGGGAATAGAACTATTCCCCTTCCACCCTTTTATTTTTAGACCTGTGGATCCTGGCTTCCGGAGAAACCATACAATATATTGGACACTGACAATTTTATATATACAAGTGTATTTTTTTCAGAATTAAATATCCCTGCCTAGAGTAAGTGATGTTATGATTCAGGAAGTAAACAAAACTTAGAAATCTTAGCAAGCTCTTTAATGTACAATATCCCTTTGGACCTTGCCAAGGTTGTATGAGGAGTAACAGTTGGTAGTGAAAGGAGAATCTTGACCAGTGAGGCTGTGTGCAAGTCACAGAGTGTCCAGGCATGCATGGCTCTGGAGGAGCTGAGAGTTCTACATTTTGATTTAAAGGCCCCCAGGAGAAGACTGTCAAAGCCCACCCCTACAGTGGCACAATTCCTCCAAACAAGGCCACAGCTCCTAACAGTACCATGCCATATAGGCCAAGCATTTTCAATCCACCACTGCGTATTCCCACACATTACCATCCCAAGTTATAGATCCCACTCTTGACCAATTAATGCTGTTACTTCTATCTGTCAACACTGTCTAAGGAAGGGACTTGAACTCTTCACTGTAATTCAGTCACTATTCTAATAAGGGCTTCAGATTTATTTTCCACAACTTGAGCTCTGTGGCTGCTGGAGAGAAGATCTCTCTAGGGCACACTTAGAAACCTCT